ACTAGACACATAAGTAGCATTTTCATGAATGCTAAGGGTTTCTACCTTCTTTGGCTCGCCACAGTCGTGAGCAAAGTGACCCTTCTTGCCACAGTTGAAACATTTCACTCTTGAAATGTTCTTCTTGAAAGGACGCTTTCCTTTCTCCCGTTAGTTGAGCCTCGGCTTCTTCCCTGAAGGACTTGGCCCCTTGCCTTTCCACTTCTTTGACCCAGTAGGGTGCTTCCTCTCGGAGCCCGAAACTCCATGCGAACTAGAACCAGCAAAGTAAATATCAGTTTCTGGTTTAGCCGCCATGAGGCGATCCTCTTCCAGTTCAAGATGCCGCATAGCATCCTCGAAGGTCTTAATACCCTCATTGTGGGTCAAATGGATCTTCATATGCTCCCAGCTTTGAGGCAAGGAGCGGATCACTGCCTGCACCTGCTGTTCATCAGTGAGTATGTGCCCAGCATCCTTTAGCTCACTAATCATATTCGACATATGCCTCAAATGTTGTTTCATGGTCTTTCCATGAGACATCTTGTATGAGTCGAAACGGATAGTGAGTTGTCTCAGTTTGGTCACAGAAGTTCGACCAAATCTTGATGCCAATGCAGCCCACATGTCTTTGGCGTTCTGGAAACGTCCAAACTTTCGCATGATGTCATTGTCCATGCTGCTTAGCAACGTAATGCGAGCAAGAGAGTTCTTTCTTTTCCAAACAGCAAAAGCATCTTTGTCCCTCTTGTGTTGGGCAGTTGTCCCATCCTCAGGTTTTTCCATAATCTGGTTAAGAGGTTCGAGTGCCTCTTGCTCTTCCAGCACATATTGAATCTTGAGACTCCAAATCTCATAATTGTTGCCATTCAATTTTTCTCCCTTATTAAGTTCAGCCACTATATTCTTAGTTGCTGAAGTCATCGTATCTGAACATTTCAGACACATACGCACGAGTTATTGAAGCCTATCTAAATGCTTCATCAGCATCATGATTACATAAACTAATCATATTAATGAATAGTTTCACAAAAGGTCTTAGAGTCGAAATTCACTATGTTCCCAATCATCGTCTAAAAAATCCAATTTGAAATTACCATTAACATAATCATTTATATAAAGAAATTGGTTCTTCAAAAGTTATACAAACTTTGAAGAACTTCCCACATATAACATAACATGTGATATAGCAATATAAAATGAGAAATCACAAAAATTCATAGCCATATATGTATTTCATAACACATTCACAAATATTTAAGAACATGTAATAACAACTTGAAACATATACAGAATTGATTCCAAATCCCAAAAGAACAACATCAAGTGTACCAATCTAACACATAAACAGGAAAGGACTCATAAAATTCTTTAGAAAGTTTTATTTTCTTCGGAACATAAACAGAGGCTCCCGGAAAACCCCTAGATCTGGGCCATGATTTGCGCCGAGACCCATTCAATGCAAGGGTTGATGTTCTTCTTGCCCCAACCCTTATGTATTCTTGCACAAAATTCTCCACAAGCATCTTATAGCTTGGACCATTTAAGGTTTCTTTAACCTTATCAAGCATTCTTCCCAACTCATCAAGCATAGTGCATTTTAGGACTCCGACCATTACATATTCCGGCATTACAAAACCGTTCCAAATGATATCTTGTATCATTTTGTTGACCTTGATGATGTGTGTCATCATATCATCTGTAGCGTCCTATCGATAAAGAGCTAGCTTGACTCTTAGGTTTTCAAGCTTCTCCTTTTGAGCTGCCGTTCTTGGGATTATCGGAGTGTGTCTCAAATGTACCATTGTTCCTGCAACGAATGTAGAACAAAGAATTACTTATAATCCATGATACATTAAGATAAGGAATGCTTATTCATATACATATGATCTAGCACTTATATTTCAAAAAAAAACTATAGAGAAATACTAGAGAAAATGCTAAAGAATATACCCCTAAGTACGTGTACATAGGGTTTATCGTGCATTTTCACATTCATAAGTGCAGCAAAAATGTAATATGAATACACCATAACGTAGAGCATTCCGATATGAGCACATCGATACCAAGAACGCCCAAATCGGAGTTCAAATGAGCTCGAACGGGCCGAAAGAAATAACGGAGTCATTCTGCCGGTTTGAACCCGTCCGGTTCGACCGGTCCGACCGTTGACCAGTCAACGGTCAACCGGGGGGTCGGTCAACGGTCAATCGGGTCGGGTCAACGGGTCGAGTCAAAAGTCAACGGTTCGGGTCAACGATCAACCGGGTCGGGGCAACGGTCAACCGTGTCGGTCCGGATGACGTCACGCTGACGTCACGTCGGCGGTTGGGCGGCATCGACGCGCCGTTTCGCACGGCCGCGCGTGGGACTCAAGCGCCGTCGCGCCCACGGCACTTGTCGGCGCGTGAGGGCGCGTACGACATCCTCCGGCGACGCGCCGCCCATCATTTTGCTCGTCTCGACGAGTACTTTCTGTTTATGCAATAAAATTTAAGTTTTGACGAAAAACAAAAATCGAAACATGCATGAACAGTTCGGCGACGCGAAAAAAAACGAGCGAAAACGAGGCCAAAACGAAAAAACAAGCAGTATACACTTCAGACGATATATATGCATGATCGGAAAACAAGTAAACGGGCTCTGATACCAATGTTGGAAAAACTGAATTCCCGATCGACGTATTCGAAACATATTCGGAACGAATTCGATCAATGCGGAAAACGTGCCCGAGGACCATCAACTTGTATCACCGATCGTACAGGTATATCACACAACGAACATACCCGGTATTGTCACAGATTAAGTGCCACTTTGCGCTTGAGAGTTCTTCGAATGTCTTTCGTACTCGCGTGCGCTCCGAAGCAAAAGCAGAGAATACGTTGTATCAAAAGAGTGTGTTTGCATATATTGAAAATCACGTCTGTTTTCCAAAGGGTGCCTTCTATTATAGATAGACAAATAACTACCTCATGGGCCCTTGTGGCTCACGGGCCGGGTTTGGCTCATATTGGGCGGTCCACCCAATATGTCTTACACGGAGGGTGGGCAATGGGAGTGATGGCGGTGAGGCACAATGCGACGACACTGGGTACGACAATAGCGGTAACGGCCGGTGTAGTGGAGCCGCCAACCGTGATGAAGAATAGGGGTGAGCAACTTGGACCACCCAAACCGGGACCGGACCGACGGGTTTGGTCCGGTTCTCGAGACTATCTGTCCGGTTCCCGGTTCCTAAAAGCGGAACCGGTTTCCAGGCGGTCCGGTTCCCGGTTCCAAGGGGGAACCGGACCGGACCGACTCTTTAATATATATTTTTGTTATTTTTTTCTTTAAAAAAATTAATAAAATGTGAACTAAACTCTAAGTGAACTTCATTATCATAAATTCATTGATAAAAATTAGTAAAATGTGAATTAAACCCTAAGTGAACTTCATTAACATAAATTCATTGACAAAAATTAGTAAAATGTGAACCAAACCTTAAGTGTTTAATCAACAAAAAAAAAACTAAACTCTAAGTGACCGGTTCCATTGGACCGGACCGGAACTGAACCGGTGGTCCAGTCCGGTTCCCGGTCCTAGAACCAACTGGTCCGGTCCGCGGTTCCCAAAATTGGGAACGGACTCTCTCGGTCCGGTTCCCGGTTCCACCTTGAAACCGGACCGGACCGGGAACCGATCACCCCTAATGAAGAAGGAGGAGGTTTCGTTTCAAAATCAATTTTAATTGAACTAGACTCTATCATCAATTACAAATACCTTTTGTTGAGGTGGTGCCATGGTTGGCAGAAAATAAGGGTAAATTCACATTGAGCCGATTTCGGAAAGTTTAGGTATTAATTGAACAAAAACAAATTTTGGAAATTACGTTGAACATTGAAAGAAAGTTGAGGAACTGCTCATGGTATTACCCAACGCTAATTGATGTTTTGGTGCTCTCAATGTCCCTTCTTGCCTCGCCCCCAACCTCCCTTCATCGTCCTCTTCCTCCTCTGCTCTCGTTCTTCTAATGAATTCTCCCAAGTCTTTCTTGTTCTTTGACTCTTCAACCTCTGCATCACAAGATCTCCGAGTTTGCGAGTTACACGAAAAGGAAAATTTCACTGCGTTGGAGAATCTGAAAGTCAAAAGCATTCGAAATCCTCTCTTCGAAGCTACCCTCAAGGTTTGCTTGAAGAATTTTTTTGACTGTGAAAGAACAAATTGCTTCATCCAGTGGCTAGTTTTTTGGAGTGTATACAGCAAGGCCAACGAGAAGTTTGGCTACAAACAATGTAGCTAACAATGCAAGGCACCTCCTTGCGAACCCTTTTATCACACAATTGTGACAGCAGCCACTGGATTCAGTCTCGATGGAGACATTGCGATTGCTAGAGTACTGACTCAAAAGTTTACCGCGGAGTGGACAAAACTCCATAGAATTGCTCAAGCAGGGGGCTCAATGGCGGTCGACCATATAGCACCACACACTAACCTTCTCCCATGAAATGCAGCGAATCCTAACTACCTTGGTTCATACCAATCGCTCCTAAAAAAGAATTGAAAATCTAAACCCAAAACATACCGGTCGACAAAAACAAACATGACCAAAAAGTTATCAGGTAAGAGTTCCTGGCACAGAAGTAACTCACATTCTCCCGTCCCAACTGACAACCCTTGTCTTGTTTAACATTGAGGCAACGCTTATATGATGGATGAGCTAACTGGTTGAGCACGCTGCCACAATGTCACCAGTCTAAATTCAAATAAGCCTTGCAACTTGGACAAATGTAAAACCTCAAATTGCATGACCAACACAGTCACCTTAGATCGTCCACCAGGCAAATGCCCCAGTAGCGTGGGCATTGGGTGACAGGGAGGAGACCCGGGTTTATATCATGGGATACCCCAAAGCTTTGGGGATAAAAGAGATAACCAAACCAAAAAGACGAAACGAAACCCATCATCATATATCATGTCAAGGAGAAGATGGTTGATGCAAAACAAACGCAAAGCAAAAAATAAGATGAACAGCAAGCAAATGCAATAAGCAATACATTGGACATGACCGCGAACAGGACATCAAACGTCTCAAAGGACCAAGCAATAATCGTACGTGTTACAGACTGCTTTCCAGCTAACTACGAAAATCTTGCTGCTCCCGCAAACATAATAGGGAAGAACTAGGGGAGAAAGAAAGCTAACCATAAGTAAAGAGATTCAGATTTAGCAACAGTAGCTCATTGATGCTGTGCCCTGAGGAAGCCAAGAAAGATGTTGGATATGGAGGCTCTTCAATAACTTCCACAATTATTTAGGAGTTCATCATGATGATTTTTTTCTTATTCTCATGCTCTTCATTGACTAATCACACCGTTCAAAACTGCAGATATGCATGATTTTACGACATAGATGCCTTTTTTTCCATGTATTACATCAGCTGAAAAAAAAAAGCTTGGCCTGTTCTACGTGTAAGATTCCATCCTGCAACTTCCTTGAGAATCTCAAAGAGTCAAAGGAGAATAATGAAACTCAAATGAAAGCTTATCAACCTTCTGCATCTTCTTTTATTAAATAAATCACAGATGTCTCCATAAAAGCTCCCATAAGCTAACTGCCAAACAGCAGATGAATGCCTTGATAAGAAAGACCAGGGCTTTTTAAGCTCGCAGTAACAAATGCACATTCTTTGAAAATGAAGTTAATCTATGTTCCCTATATCACAGCAGCCTTTTGTTTAACTTTAGCTTTCTCGGCATCAATGATGGACTCCACCAATTTCACAGCATTCTCCAGCTGTCCTTCTTCATTCACAACAACATAATCAAATTTATTAATATGTCTGACCTCCTCACGTGCCGTCGCTATTCTGACAAGAAGCGATTCTTTAGTCTCCGTCTTCCGACCAATCAACCGCTGAACAAGTGCCAGTTCGCTCTCTGCAACCAGAAATATAAAAACTGCAGACTGCCCAAGAACCCTCCTCAAGGTTTCTGCCCCTTGTATGTCCACCCTCAACACGATATCGTACCCCTTTGCCATGTACTCACGTATTTGCTGCTTTGGAACACCCTTATAGTCACCATACACTAAAGCATACTCCAGTAGTTCATCCTTTTCAACCATGGAGAGAAACTCCTCTTTAGTGACAAAGTAATAATCCCTCCCATCAACTTCACCTGGTCGCATTGGCCGGCTAGTCGCAGTAACAACAAAATGGAGACTGTCTCTAACTTCCCTCAGTCTTTTAATGACTGCGTCTTTGCCCACTCCACTTGGTCCACTAATGACAATAATCAAAGGTTTTGGAACAGGGCGCAATGGTTCAAGACTAAATGAAGAACCCACTGAGGCTTCAAGGGCTCTTAGCAATTCGTTCTTATCAGCTTTGTCAAGCGATGGAATGGGTACAGCAGGGGGTCTTCGTGCATCACCCATTTCGCAATTCGACGAAACAAAACGAGGAGCCACAGAGAGTTTCTGAGATGTTGGCTTATAACAATTCCGAGAGAAAAAAGTCGGACTTGACCTGGTAGAAGTAAATTGGCACCCAATTCTTTTGTGAAAGGTTGGCAAATGGAGGTCAGAATGGGCAATAGAAAGGCAAAGTCTCCGAAAAATCATTGGAAGAAGACGTTCGATAATATCGATGTAAAGAACAGAAATTTCTAACTGATGCAACTTATACTCCGGGGCAGATGAACGCCATGTTCCAGTGTCTCACCTGCAGACTCCAGAATCCAATACAAAAATCAAGCAGATGCATTCTATGATGCTAATAGGATAGTTAGCAATGGTACACTGTGACAATAGACACATAACCAAGGAATTATCAATTATCTATTGCAGATCAATTATCTTGCCTGGCCAATATTAGATACAGTAGGAATGAAATGCTGATAGCATCACATAATCAGTATACATCAATTAGAACCAAATAACCAATAATACACCTATGGGTATGGGTATCCTCAAAATTTTAAAATAAGGTTTACTATCTAATCTTTTGATGGTACACCATTCAACAATTTAAGCCTAGATATGCATAATAAAATTAAAGCAGTACTCCAAAATAATCTTTTGTCTTTAGATCTATCAAAGATTTTATTGCCTAGACATGGAGAATGAAACTGAAGCAGCACTAAGAGCACCTAAGTTTAGATAAGAAAAACTGCTTCTTTTTATATTAGACCATCCATCAAACAGGTTGTGTGCATTGAGTGGAAGTCGCAACCCGCTACTTCCAGTGCTCAAGCGAGACCCAGTTAACACCAGCTCGATGCTCAGATTAGCATTATCGAAACCGCAACACTTTAACCCACCAGAAACTCGGGCATTATCACAAATGGCGTCAAGAAACGAAAACCGCAGATCAAGAAAGTCGAAAAATGCTAAAAGCAGAAGCATTCAAGAACCCGAAACTTTTCCTCGGACGGATCTTCCCCGCGAAGAAGGAAACAAGAAAAGGGTAAAAGGGACACAAAGAAAACGATGGTTCCGCACAAGCGAAGCACAAGTTCGATTCGTACCCACGAAATCCATCGACCCAATGGAAACAAAAACCCAGAAAAGGAGGCCCATTTCCGATCCCGGGCAACGCAAAACGGAGCCGGAATCACCAAGAACAGCACGAGACGAACACCATCTACGCCGAAACTCAAGACCCAACACTTGACGATTAGCAAAGGAAGCGAGGAAGGGGAAAAGATTGCACTCACCAGGCGGAAGATGGGAATTCGATACCGAGTGTCATGGATTTCTCCGGGCGATTCGAGCGTGTCTCGCCATGGTAGAGAGATTTGCTTTATGTAGCGAAGCCGAAGCAAGAAGATGAAGAAGCTATTCGGTGAAAAAATGCTTTGCATGTGGTGAAAATAAAGTCGGAATTATTCTTTGCTTCGGGATTTTTTTTTCCATAAATGTGGGTTTCATTATTGAATGAAAATATTCCGTTTCTTTAACATTAATTTTAGATGCCGCGAATATAATCAGTGCACTGAAAATTGTAAAATTATTTTTTCTGTTATTTAATAAAGTTCGAAAGCAAATTTTAAGATCTGAAATGCGATATTGAGATTATGGTATAGTCCTTGAAATTTGACTCGATGTGCAACATCGTGTCGTCCCTGAACTTTTAATTTTTCAGTGTGATTCCTGAATCATGTAGTCTTTTCAATTGCTCAAAATGACAAATTAGACGTTAATTTATGACGTTAATTATTATATAATGAGCTGGATCATTAAAAATGATGAATCAACATACACCTTCTTATCTATCTACTTTAAAAAAGGAGAAAAAATCAAGGCATCAACGTGTCCATTATTATTTCCCGTGTATTATATCTTGATTTGAGATGAATAACTTACTTTAATAATTCATGTGTAACCTTTTTTTATTTTCCACCATTCAAACTCAACAAATTGGAAGCTAAATTAGCAGATTTCATTATCTCAAATTAGTGAAAGAACGACGTTGAAGATTTTAATATTATCTAAGAATTACATTTATTCATAGTTTAGGAAACATATCGAACAAATTAAAAATTCATGTATAATATTGAATCAAAGTTCAAGAACTATTCATGTCATTTTCTCTATCTTAAATTAGAGCAATTGACCTCATTCAACTAATGGAAAACAAATTAAAATAGTGATTTTTTATTTGCAGTCACCCATTTAGAAAATACATATTAAACTCAACCGTTTTCTTAAACATATACTTTTTTATTCAATACAATTTTTTATTGGGGCAATTTTACAAAAAGTTTGAAATCTATTGTGCGGACGCCTATTTAGTCATAAACTTTCCAATTTTATTAATTTAGTCATAAACCTTTGCGCGAAATTTCAATATAGTCATTTGGGCTAATTTTGGTAAAAAATTACTGACATGGCAGTATGCTGCAGAGAAAAGCCCATGATTACCATATTAGTGATTTTCGGCGAAAATTGATCAAAATGACTACATTAAAATTTCACCCAAATTTAGGAAAAAATTGAAATGTTTATAACTACACCATTAGAGAAGAGAACGCAAATATAATGATACAAAATTTCTGTTCTCTTAATCAATGTATCTTTTGTAACCTCATCTTGTTTTGGTTCAAACGGGCACTCCGGAAAAATCCTTATCCCTTCTATCTTGATCACGTATGTAATTATGGATAGCACAACATGCAATACAATATGTGCTTGTTTTCGAATTGTAAATGAAGATATGTGTCTCAAAATGAAGAAGCAATTATTTAATGTTGCAAATGATCTCTTCATGACATTCCTAAGTAAAGAATGTCTACGGTTGAACAATTCTATTATAGTCTGGTTTGAACAACCTTTTGGGTTATGGCTTTGAGGAGGCATTCTTGTCCTTCAATCCGTTGAACATCCTGCCATTCTTGATTGCCGAATCAGTTTGTTCTTGTGTCTCTTCTTCTTCTCCTGCTTCTTCATGATCTATGTCAGTGAAAGTAGGGTGAGTGAGGATGCTATTGAGCAACTAAATCCCTCTGGTGAGTGGGAAGTGACTCCCTGAAGTGTTCTCCTTAAGCTCCCACATGAACTCAGTTGGGATTGACCTGTAATTGTACTGCTCAACCTCCATGTCCACCTCTTGGCCTTGTCACACAGCCTTTTCTAGATGATGTATCCAAAGTGGTCATTACTGTGGTGATGCCATAGGTTGTTGATTGCCTTGAGGTCGGCTGTAGCGATGAATTGGACCTTGAAGAAGAAGACACAGTCGCGCTTGATGGCAGCGTTGTCGGCCGGGGCAATGAGAAGGTGGCGAGTCTCCTTGTCGGCTTGCCAGAAGTCCTTAGTGGCAAAGTGGCACTCAGGGAGGTCGAGGGAAGTGGAGGAGGGGGAGTGGGTGGTGGAGGTGGTAGCATCGGTAGCGGATGAGGAGGGGGAGGGCGAGGTAGGGGAGAGAGAAAAGGTGGTGGTGGTGATGGAAAGTGAGTGGGAGGAGAGAGTTTTTATTTCTCATAAATAGAGAAATATAAAATTTACACTTCTTATTTCTGTTTAAAACTTATTATTATTGAGTTAAAAATTTGTCCCAAAAATAAAAAAAAATGAAATTGTGTTACCGAACGGATTTCTGTTCCAAACCTGTTTAAGGGAACAGAAAAATAGAAAAACAGAGAAACATAATGGTTATCATACGCATTCTTAGAATCACAAACTAAAATATCCAACATAGGTTTCGGCAATAAGAAAGCTAATTAGGGGGCGAGTTCTTTCAGTGCCTTAACCAGTCAATCTGCTAGCTTGTTTGCCTCTCTTGGACAATGGTGTTGGGAAAACTAAATCTAAGCACACCGCCGACAGGCAAAACCATAGCTACAAAAGGAGATGCAAAACCATAGCTACAAAAGGAGATCCCAGCGTGTGCTTGTCACAAATAATGACGTGTGATTCGATATCAGCCACTAAGTCTTTTACTTAGATGCAGTCACATATCTTTTCAAGACAAGCACATACTTAACTCTGCTGACCATGCTCTGATGATAGACCTTGATTTCTGGATTTTGATTTCTTTTGCGTCTTTATGGGATTGTTTTGTTGGGATGCTTTCTAAGATTTTCAATAGATTATTTCATTTATCATTTTGGTTACGAATGGAAACTTCTTTTGAGAAAAAAAATACTGAACTCCATACTCCAGCACTGACTTCTAAGACTCTAGAGACGACTTTTTTAGTCAGAGAGCTACATCCTGCAAAGGAATGTAGAACAGAGAGAACCCTCATGAGACATATCCCTTCGGCCATTTCTCCGCTCTTTACGCATCAGCTTCTTCCGGTGGCCAGGGACAGGTTTCAGACCCGCAGTTGAATCGGTCGCAATGTTAGCATAGCGTCACTCATCTGGTCTTTTATGGTACAACAACGAGTGAAAACCGACCCAATCAGTGCCTTCACGGCAACATTCCCATAACTTCAGGTAAGCTAATGATACTTCATTTTTACTCCGAATACAAAATCTGTCATTGAAAGCAGCCCGATTCGCGGGTCCTTATTCCGGAAGTTACAAAACAATGTACAAATAACAAATACCACAGTCCCATCTGGAAATAGAAATCTGTCCCCGAGAAGAAATCAGCAAAACGAAGTCCAAATAAATTCACCTCGGACTCCTCCATTACTTCGCCGGTTTCCGAGGAGAGCGTGATCATAATTTTTGCTTATACCACCCGCATTGCGCCGTCACCTGCAATCAGTAGTTTATCAGCAGAAGCAGATTCTGATCTCCCCCGCGCACTATTAGCTGTATCTGATAAATAATGACAGTGGCATGTTAATCTTGAGATTCTAGTCAATGTGTTGGCCCGACCGAGATACGATGAGCCAGCATGAAGCCGGACAAGCGTAATGTGTTTGTCCCGGAAAGCACCAGTACTGGTCTCCCATTCAGTACCAATTGTTTCCGGGCCCACCGTGAGCGGCAGCGACCTTCCTCGGCATATACTGAGGCTTAGGCTGCACGCCATTGGGAATTCCAATACCTTCCTCTTCAGCTCTCTCGCTCTTACAACCTGGATTCCTTCTTGAATACGAAGAGCCCGTAGAAGTATGTTGAGCTGCAATCGCGGGATTCCTTACCGTCCTCCTTTGCTCGACCGCCTCCGTAGTCGCTGCTGCAGCTGCCCCACAGTTGTAGCGCAACACAGAGCCGACGACTTTCCCCGGCCTTGCAGCTCCACCTGCAGCGAAAAATATTAAGAAACGATCACAAGCAAACACCTGTTTTCCACACTATTGACAGAAGTAGCATAGCCCAAAGTGGGGATGACGGAAAGAAATAAGTTGCGGGAAATATACTTTGAGGGACTTGAAGAGGAAGCCTTGACATCGGGATTGTAGAGTTCCTCTCAGTAAGAGACTTATCAGTTTCTTTGATGGAACATTTGGCCAGATCTTCCGACACCTCATTTGAGCTCTGCACTGAATCAGAGTACAGAACGCATGGCCTGCAGTTACGTAACTTTGTGAGTCCCAAAATGTGAAAGGAAAAGCCCATAAGATATTATTATCAAGAAAATGAATTATACCAAAGTGAACTAGAAAATATACCTAGGCAGTGAAGCATGCTGTCTTTCGGGTGGGGGAGCGTTAGAACCCTTCACATAATGCTCCTCAAGGAAAGCAAATTGCTTCTTGAAATGATCAACAGCACTGCACAAAAATTGTTTGCCTCAACTCTCGAGGAAATTCATGCAAGAAAGATATACTCCGAAAACTGTAACAAGAGGCTTTGTTTCGTTGCATGAATTGGTAGTGGAACAATATTTATTGCCCATCAGCAGCTTGTGTAATGAGTGGAAAAAATATTGTACTTCGTAGCAATTCGTGAAGCATTAAACTTCCAAAAATGAGATCAATATCACTAAACCAAATGCTGCAAAAACAAGATGAGTATGTATGTAACCTAGGTCTCCAGTACAAAAGATTTGGAGAGCAAGCATACATGAAACAGTTTAGGTTCTTCATCCATCATCCCAAGCATAAGAGAAGAAAAAGTAAGATTCTTTTCCCTATAAATATATTGAGATTTCTCAAACACAATGACCTTGGATCAAATGAACATATGCGCTTCACAAAACAAAATCTCTTATATGAAAGGGTTTTGTCAATGAGTGCCCCCAGGCCACTAATTAAGAATGCTTAGCCAGGAAATTTCAATTTTCAAAAGAATGATTCCACATAACACAAGAAAAACAATGTAATTGCTTAGCTTAACAAGTGCCTTAGAAACACTCGTTAACAAAATCCATTATATATTCAAAATGTGTCAAACTTCCGATTCTAATGACATCCATTATTATTCCAGAATAACCCAAATTGTAGCATAATTTATGAAGCTTTTAGCTCCACTT